CTTTGAATGCTAGGTTTGCTCTAGGAAGTGATTTGGTTTTATATATTGTTTTAAAATGACCAGGTGTATGTTTATAGTTCTCTGGGGGAAGTGAACCATTGATTAGTTTTGAAATATTGAAAATACTTATGTTTCTCTTTGAAATATAATCTTAAAATGTTAACTTGGTTCACACTTTGTTAAATGTTACTCTAAAGCCTTCTGGTTGTCTAATTGGTAGTATCAAATTTGTATTGTGAAAAAATTAGATTACTTTGTACAGCTGCATCTGTAAGCATTCATTCTCATTATCCTTTGGCTATCAAGGTAAGGATATCTACGAATGGTCTGTATAAGGAAAGATGGAATTTGATCATGCAGAATTGAACACCTAGCCTCATAGCAACTTGGAGATACCAGTTCCTTTTGAAGAATCTTTCCTCCAAAATGAGGGGATAAAAGATAGTTTTTAATGATTTATAGTATTAAAAAGATGTAAAAGGATAGGGAGCTAACTACTGGCCCATTGTCTCCACTTAATTCTAGAATTACTTGATCTCTGTGAGCCACTTGTTTAGTATACTTTATAGAATGAAAGTTCAACTAATATATTTACTGAACAAGTTGGCCTTTTCTTGAACTTTTTTTTCCCTTCAATCTGACTTACTCCTTGGTGGCTCTCAAACTGCAGTGATTAGAGAACCAGTTTTGTTTGCAAGTGTGATAGAACTTGATGAGGTTTGAGTATCATGGATTTGAGCTTCCTTAATGCTACACCCATAGTGCCTAAGGCACTTGACTGCTAACCAGAAGGCTGGCGGTTCAAACCCACCAGCCACTCCTCAGAAGGAAGGGTGGGCAATCTACTTCCATAGTGATACTGCCTTGGAAACCCAAGGAGGGGTCGCTACGAGTCGGGTTCGACTCAAGGGCACATAACAACAACAACAGTGCTACACCGTTAGAGGAGAAACCTGTATCTGTGGCTGTTTCTGGCTTCTTTCCAGACAAGAAAATCAGTTGTAGTCCAAGAATAGGCTCAAAAGTAGTTTGAATTTATTCTCTTCTCCCAATAAAATATTTGTTTGAAATTTAATGTCCTAATACAAAGATAGGAGCTCTGGTAGCATAGTGCCTAAGGCACTTGACTGCTAACCAGAAGGCTGGCGGTTCTAACCCACCAGCCACTCCTCGGAAGGAAGATGGGGCAATCCTACTTCCATAGTGATACTGCCTTGGAAACCCAAGGAGGGGCCGCTATGAGTCGGGTCTGACTCGACGGCACATAACAACAATACAAAGATTTTCTTTATTTCCTATGGTAACCATCCCCTCCGCAAAAAAAAAAAAAAGCACTGCAATTGAGTCAGTTCTGACTCTTTCCTTATGAATGACCAGAACAGATAAACTATTTCAAAGGCTTTTTTTTTTTTTAAAGATATGAGAAAAAAAAAAAAAAAAAAAGACTCAATACCATTGAGTCAATTTCTACTCATAGCGACCTCTGCTTGGGTTTCCAAGGTGGTATCTCTATGGAAGTAGATTGCCCAGTCTTCCAAACTGAAAACTTTAAAGATATAGTTTTTCTTAAAAACTTCTAATGTTTAGGGAGTAATTGTAATTTTACATGAGAGTGAGACCAACTGTTTTAAGTTTTTAACTCCTACTGGCAATGGAAGCTAGGAATGTGGACATAAGCTGTTGAAATAGTGTGTATGAAAGAGTTCAAAGAAAAGAACAGTATGGCTTTCTTCCTCTTTTCAAAATGTTCCATAATACCAGTGTGAGCTTATACAAATTAGGGATGTGCCTTTGTCTATGCATGCAAAGATACCCCTTACTTAGGTGGTGGTTGTGTTGTTGTTATGTGCTGTCGAGTTGGACCCGACTCATAGAGACCCCTCCTTGGGTTTCCAAGGTGGTATTTCTACGGAAGTAGATTGCCCAACCTTCCTTCTGAGGAGTGGCTGGTGGGTTTGAACCTCCAGCCTTCTGGTTAGCAATCAAGTGCCTTAGGCACTAAGCTACCAGAGCTCCTAGAATTTTTTATAGTCTTCGGTAAATGTAGATGCGACTACACTCTGTCTAGCCTTTATAAATTTTGTGTTACGCTGTTTTTAAAGAGCTTTTCAGAAATTGGCTGTGTTTTTTGAGTAGCAGATAAACTTTGTTTGTTTTTGCTTCATAGCCACTGAAAAACATATTTCACAGTCAGTGGTCTGTGAATTTCTTTTGTTTAACCAGGACTAGTGACTATTTTATATAAATGTGCTAGAAAAAGTAATATGTTAGCATTATTGGCTTTAGAGCACTTACCTTAATATATTAGTAACTAAGTTTGCCACTTAGTATTTTTAGTGGAGCCACTGTTGTTCACAAAGCACCTTGAGAAAGCAACTGAAAAGAGAGCACACATTGTAAAGGTCTACAGGTCTTTCACCATGTCTGCTCAGAGAGGCCATTCTTGGTTTCCTCTCTAAATTATTAATCTGCTTCCCTCTTCCTTCACTAACACTTCTTATCTTCCTTCCTTGCTTTGTTTTTCTCCTTTAGCAATTACAGTTACCTAGCTGACTGTGTTTTTTCTTGTTTATTCTCTGTCTCCCCCACTAGAATGTAAACTTGAGGACAAGGATCTATGTCTGTTTTGTTCATTGCTATATCCCTAAGAATTAGAACATAGTAGATGCTCAGTAAATATTTTTGAATGAATGAGAGACAACCATAATCTTTGAGGAATCAAACTTAATGGTAGTAGTTTAAAAAAAAAAAAAAACACCTATGGCCTAGTTTTTATCCACATTCATAACCATTATTTGAATAATTTAAAAGTAAAACTACATAGTCACAAGTAAAGAGGTGTTTTACATTGAAACTGTCATTCAGAAAAAAGGGTTTCTAGGATTAATACTGTAAAATTGACTCAATCTAGGAAGGCTGGTGTAGAGAATATTGTAGAACAGAGATGTAAATTACAGAGACAGCATGGTTAGCTGGGAGGAATAGAAGGATTTCCCAAGCAAAGTGGGTGACAAAGGAAATGACTGGGCTAAGTCAGGCCAGCTGTGTGCAAACATGTTTGTTTTTGACCAGGAGCTAGTAGGGGTAATACTGGGAAGGTAAGGTATATCCTCAACAAGATGGATTGATTACACTGGCTGTAGCGATGTGTTCAAGTATGGCAACGATTGTGAGGATACAGGACCAGACAATGTTTTGTTCTGTTGTACATAGGGTCACTGAGTCGGAACCGACTCAGTGGCACCTAACAACAAAGGTTGGCTGGTAGAGGAGAACCAGTTTTGTGGATAATCAAGAATAAGAAGATTTAATCTATTACGCAGGTATCTGGGATCCACAGCAAATTATCAAGGGAGCAAAATGATTGGTCAAATTTACACCTTTAGAAGAGAATTCTTAAATGTTGTGGACTTTTAGAATGTAGGGAAGCCCACGGTGGTGCTGTAAGGTGAGTACAACCTAAGGACTTGGCTTTGGTAGTGCAAAGAATCGGGACAAGTATGACCCGTGTTGTAGAGAAAAGTGCAACAGTGCTTATCAACTAAATATGGTGCCCAGAAGAATAGAAAGTGATGAGAACTTTCTCAAAGATACAGACTTAAAGTAGTTTTGTTGCTAGAAGTTGTGCTTTAGGAAAAGATTGTTGAGCAGATGAGGCATGTAGATAACCATCTCATTTTTTAAGTGAGACCCTTATAGAAAGCTCCCCTGCAGACATTGAGAAAGTCAAGATAATAAGTAATTTCAGAAAACTGTTGTTGTTAAAACTAAAAATAATTGCTAATACCTGTCCTGTTTGCTATATATTGTAATTAGTAAGACAGGAAGCATTATATAGAAGACTTTTAAACTGTGTTTTAAATAGCAAGCTGACACATACTGGTTAACAGAATTTGCATAAACTCACTCCAGACATCACTAATTTGACAGGAACTAGCAATTAACTAAACTTTGCTTATTTGCTTGCTTGCTCACTATTGCAAGTATGTCATTCTGGCTTTAATGCTTTACTTTTAAAAGGTATTTAATCTTTTTGAGTAAGGTCATCTACTTTTCTCTCTCTGTGTATGTCTTAAGTTTCTTCTTTCTTCTTTGCTCATTTAAGAGTATTTAATATCCCCCAAAGTCTAGCCCAGGACTTTGTAGGCATAGTGCTCTGTCCTTCATTCCATCCCATAGCAGCTGAAAATAACAACCACCATATTTCTATGTGTGGAGGTAGGCCAGGCATGCAGTAAGAACACTGACTCTTACTACAACCCTTACCACAATAGGTATTATCTCCACATTACAGATGAGCAGAGAGAGGAGTTGACTTCACACAAATTACTTAACAAGTGAAAGGAAGAGTGAGATTAAAACCTTGATCTCTTTGATTCAAAAGCCCATGTTTTTCTCCTTAATGGACACAGTCTTAAGCCATTTTTCTCTAAATATGGTTTTTTAAATGCACCTCTTTGAACCAGCCTTGTATTTTATAGTTTCTTCCTAAAAGGTTGGTTTTCTTTCTTTTTCCTGGTAATTGAGTCATGTCTACTAGGTTTAGATTTTTTAGTACATGAGGGATGAAGATTAAAATGTCATGCCTTATATTAACCCTTCCAAGTTGCTGATATTGAATCATAACACTCCAAAAATGAAACTGTTTTACTTTTATTTAGGAATGGATATGTCATATCCTTTTTGTAGAATGCTTCTTTAGCTTTCAGGTTTCATTTATTTGAATAAAACTACTCTCCTGTAAAAATTTAACTCTCTAAACACTTAATGAATACTTATCATGTGCTAACTAGAGATGAAACAGTGCTGTGGGAGCACAATAATGAATATAGGTACCTGGCCTCAAAGGGCTCTTTCACATTCAATTTATCAACAGAAGAACATATAATTAAGTCTCTATAAATCACTACCCCAGGATAGCACTCCCAGAGATCAAGACCTTGTTGTACATTTCATTTAAGTGTGTTAAAATCAAATTCTAAATGTAGAATTTTTCCTAGGTATGCCTTGCAATAGCTCATTATTCCCAGCCAACAGACCTCCAGCTACTCTTTGCATTTGAATATGTTGGGAAAAAATACCACAATGAAGGTAAATATGAAAATGTTAAGTATTGTGACTAACTTTACATTGTGTAAATTTTGTTGTTTACCAGAAGCTTCCAAGTACATAAGCTTTAATGATTATACACTTGTTAGCTTCACAACTGTTAGAGAAGTAATCTACTAAAAGAATCCACGTTTGTCAAATTATATTTTTTTTGGAAAGTGACAAAGAAGAACCTATAAGCAACTATAAACATAGGCTTATAAGGGTCATGTCATATTTTACCTAGAGTTACTTTGGTTTGTATTTTTATGATAAAGAAAAATAGATCCCCCCCCCCCATTAATTGGTAGCTTGGGTTAAAGTAATCTTATCTTCTAAAAAAACTAAGAGACAATTGAAAAGCATGTTTTCTGACAGTATGTGATTTTATGCAAAAACTAAGTAAGTAAGTAAAAGCTTTTGGTGGATTTTTTCTAAGATCATCAAAATAATGACTTTCTATTCCTGAATAAGTTTCATAAAAGGAAGATAAAGATTTGTCCAAAGGACAGGTATATTCTAGATAGTTTTTGTAAAAACTTGTTAAAGTAAAATTGACCATGTATCTTTGTTAGCCAAGATACCACCAATGAAAATTCTAGATGATCATATAATTCTTTACATTCTGTTTATTTACAATATAATTTTAATAAACCATTTTTTAAAATCTCAGAAGGGAAAAAAAGAATACATTTCTGTGGGTTCATGATTACACACTGATCTACCTATGGTGGCATGTGTTCTCCCATTCTTTAAGGAAGAAAAATAAGTCAGCTTAGTGTTTATATTACAGACCCATTCACTCTAGCATGGTCTGGATGGGGATCTTACAAATTATTTATTTTACTAGACTTTTATATTTTGTTTCCTCAAGACACAGGATAGTAATTTAAATAACCTATATAATAGAAATATATTCCAATATAACTGTATTGTAAAATATTAAACTGTGGTAACATACACAGTATTTGCAGACACATACAGTATAAGTACTTATTACTTTAAAAGATATTTATCAACACTATAGAGATGATTTATAAAAATGCCTTGTTGATAGCTTTTATCTTATAGTACTGTATTTCTAGAAGTTAGGAAACAAAAGTATAACTTAATTTTTCTTAACAAGATGTACGCTAATTGTCACTTAGGCTTGAACAAAAGTTTTTAAAGTTTATTAATATAAACATTCATTTGACTAAAAACAGTTAAAATATTATAGACCTGATGCTGTTAATCAGGGACATTTTCCTTTGGATCATCATTAAACTCCAGAACTGTGATCATCAAAGTTATCTTCAATAATAATCTCACCTAAAGTTCAAAGAGAAAAGCCGAAATGGAAGTTTCAAGCAATATGAGTTGTAGGAATGTCTTTGATTCCTACTTAAATTTGCTTATATAGAGACTAGTTTTCAGTGCTAATTCTTTTCTCATAAAAATGATTCAGTCCAGTGTACAATTCCATAACCTTCTGCAGCAGTGTCATGACTTGGGCTCAGCAAATACAATAAACTTTATTATACAGTTGGTAGCCTGATGCTTTGGCTAAGTTACTTTTCTTTTTCCACATTTTTCTTCATCCGTTCCTTGTGGCATCTCTGGGTTAATACTTTTAAACAGTTTATTCAACGCATAACTCTTCTAATCAGTTAATCTATTTCTTCTTGAATACCTTGTTCAGGAACACTTTTATATTAAATCCCTTAAACTTCCTCTTTGAGAAGTACTTCATAAACATAACACTTGGCCAAAGTTTTGTTACAGTTCCTCATAGGGTGACATCCTTTAATATCCTTCCATGCTGTTGCAGAAGCATAAACTGCATCTTTAAGATCAAAAGGAGCCTGAAATTTCCACACACTGCAGTCAAAAATCATTAATTTGAGAGAGAAAGATGCCCAGTAATCCACTTTTGAACTGCTGGATGACACCTTCATTCACTGGCTGGATTAAAGAAGTCCTTTTTGCAGGCAGGTAGGTGATAAAGCTGTTTCCACAAATAAGATCAGAAGCTGGCGGATGTCCTCTGCAGTTAGCTAAGAAAATAATTCTTTAGCTGACCTAAGGCATTCTGCAGTTTTGCTTCATGTCCAGCATCATACAAGTAAAACCGAGAAAAGTTGTCAAGTTCAATTTCAACTCATAGTAACTCTATAGGACAGAGTAGAACTGCCCTATAGGGTTTCCAAGGCTGTAAATCTTTACACAAGTGGACTGCCACAGCTTTCTCTTGCAGAGTGGCTGGTGAGTTTGAACCACCAACCTTTTGGTTACCAGCTGAGCGCTTCAACCATTGTGCCAACACAGCTCTATCTGTTTAGAGTAATCTACTGCCATTGAGTCAGTTCTGACTCAGTGGCCCTATAGGACAGAGTAGAACTGCCTCTTAGGGTTTCCAAGGCTGTAAACTTACGGAAGCTAACATCTTTCTCCCACAAAGTGGCTGATGGGCTCAAGCTGCCAGCCTTTTGGTTAGCAGCTGAGTACTTTAATCAATGTACCACCAGGGCTCCTTTCATATGAGTAAACTCTGGAAAATTCCTCAGTCACCCAAATACTTTTCTTGAGTATGCTCATGTGCAAGAGAACATACAGCACCCAGATTTTGGAAAATTTCATCACACAGACTATAAAAGGCACTACTGGCACAACAGGGATTCCCTCTGTTGTTTTTGCCTTGAAAGAAACCATAAGGACACTTTTCATGAGTAGGTTATTACTACACATAAAATGTAAAAAAGTACAATTTCATCTTTGTTATACAGTGGGTAAGTTGTCAGATCATGCTTCCAGACTAAAGAATCGAAAATCTCAGTTCCCTGCAGCATCAGTGTTAGCACCTTGACTCCAGGACAGACACTGCTTAGAAATGCAGTAGTGTAATCTGAACTCATAATGTTGCCCACATCAGAAAACATACATTTTGAATGACATTTATTTTTTAAATTTTATCCTTTTTATTAACATAGGCCCTGGTATTAGATTTTCCTTTAAATACTTACTTGAAAACTACTGATATTACCCAATCCATTTCAAACAGCTTAGGAATTTTTGAAGTTTGTTGCTTGTCAGTTCTTTTAAGATTGTCAGCATATTCTGTTGTCTTTTGAATATTGATGGGTTTTTTTTTAATTTTCCTATTTCCTTTTTTATTATTTTATTTTTGCAGTGTTTCCTCCCCTCCTCTCCCAACCCTGAACCAACAAAGAAAGTTTCCTTCCATATATAAACCTTTATTTGACTTTTTACAGTGATGAACTAATACAACATTTGTCCTTCTGTGAATTGAATTATTTCACTGAGCATAATGTCCTCCAAGTTTATCCATGTTAATGCAGTGTTTTACAGATTCTACATTATTCTTTAGGGTTGCATAATATTCCATTGTGTGTATGTACCATAGTTTGGTTATCCATTCTTCTGGTGATGGGCACTTAGGTGGTTCCATCTTTGTGCTATTGTAAATAGGGCTGCAATGAACATGGGTATGCATCTATTCTTGTCCTGGCTCTCACTTCTTTAGAATATCTACCTAGTAATGGGATTGCTGGATCAAATGGTATTTTTAATTCCAGCTTTTTAAGGAATCACCTTACTGCTTTCCACAATGGTTGTTTCATTTGAGAGTCTCCTACCAGCAGTGTATGAGAGTCCCAATCTCTCCACATCCTTGCCAGCATTTATTTCTGTCTTGTTGAACTTTGCTATTAGTGCTGGGGCAAGATGTATCTTACTGTTGTTTTGATTGGCATCTCTCTAATGGCTAATGATCGTGAACATTTCTTTATGTGTTTATTGGCAGCCTGAGTATCTTCTTTGATGAAGTGTCTGTTCATGTCTTCTGCTCATTTTTTAATTGGATTGTTTGCCTTTTTGTTGTTGAGGTGTTGGAGTTTTCTATAAATTTGAGAGGTAAAGTCCCTTGTCAGATATGTTGTTACTGAGTATTTTTTCCGAACCTGTAGGTTGTCATTTAACTCTTTTGTAGAAGTCTTTGGAAGCACATAAAAATTTAATTTTTAGAAGGTCCCTTTCATCTAGTTTCTCTTCTGCTGTTTGTACATTTTGGGTTATGCTTGACAGTCTATTCCATAAATGAGGGCCCCTAACTTTGCCACTGTTTTTTTTCCTTGAGAACTTTATAGTTTTAGGTTTCACATTTAAGTCTTTGATACATCTGGAGTTAGTTTTTGTGTGAGGTATGGATCTTGTTTCATTTTTCTGCAAACAGATAACCAGTTTTGCCAGCACCGTTTGTTAAAAAGACCATCTCTTCCCCATGTAATGCATTTCAGCCCTCTGTCAAAAATCAGCTGGTCAGTGGAGCTATATCTGGGTTATCAGTTCTGTTCGTCTTGTCTGTGTATCTGTTGTGGTACCAATACCAGTCTCTTTTGACTACTGTGGATTTATAGTGAGTTTTGAGCTCTGGGAGTGTGAGACCTCCTAATTTGTTGTTCTTCAATAGTGTTTTGGTTATCTGAAGTCTCTTTCCTTTTCATATAAAATTATTGTTGTTGTTGTTATGTGCCGTCGAGTTGGACCCGACTCTTAGTGACCCCTCCTTAGGTTTCCAAACATATAAAGTTAGTGATTGGTTTTTCTATATCCTTAAAGAATTTTGATGGGATCTAAATTCGGATTGCATTGAATTTGTAGATTGTTTTGAGTAGTATTGACAGTTTCACAATATTCAATCTTCCTATCCATGAGCATGAGATGTTCTTCCATTTATGTAGATCTCTTATGGTTTCTTGAAGTCATGTTTTGCAGGGGTATTTTTTGGTACAGATCTTTTATGTCCCTGGTGAGATTTATTCCCAAGTGTTTTATTTTTTTTGTAGCTATTGTAATTGGTATTGATTTCCTTATTTCCTTTTCAGCAGTCTCTTTGCTGGTGTAGAGGAATCCAACTGATTTTGGCTGTTGATCTTGTATCTCGCCATTATGCTAAACCTCTCAATTCCAGTAGTTTTTTTGCTGAGTGTCTTGGGTTTTCTATG